CTTCCATTAGGAGAACCGCATTAAAGAATACTAATGGGAAAATAATTCATTTTTTTCTTAAATAAATATAAAGACGTCAAATACTTTTCTCACATTAACATAGGAAAATATATTATTGACTTGATTGCAAATTCATACTTTTCTAATAAGCTAGCAAGCTGCAAGGCTTGACTATCATCGCCAAGTCTTTGCCGATTGATGAGCATGGTCGAGTTCTAATAAAAAGTTGACTCAACATTTTAAACGTAGACGAAATTGTTATTTATATAAAGATGAAATCGAATGGCATTGAAACTAGTTGGTAATAGTTTAATTCATTTAGTCTAGTTCTTTTTACGTTTTAGTTTCTTGCTTCTTATTTGTAAACATGGACTGATAGTTTAGATAATTATAATATCAAAGCCGAATCAAAATTTGGTTCTCTAATAAAAAATGAAAATTGAACACGAATCTTCTAATTTTCGATTCTAATACAAAGAACCAGCTAAAATTTAATTCATATTCTACAAAATTCACTTGTTCCACATAATTTGATAAGATACGAATGATTTCGGAGAATACTCTCTGGGATTTTCAAAATGATAAATATAATGATACATCCAACAGCAAGGATCCTTTGTCCATAACGTGGATGGTAGCAATTAATACTGTATGTATATCTGGATTGAATGATTGAATTAGATCAAATCACTAACCTAACACCAACCATTGCTACTTAATATAGGGCCACGATACGTTGACAATCAATACTTCCACGTTCCCATTAGACTACATCTAGTCTAGTTTGAAAAATACCAAATAATTTCGGTAAAAATTCACAAATTCTTTTTAAAATTTTATTAATTTCATACTTTCAACTTTTTTTATTCTTGAAATACATTTTTATTCAATTCACAATTACTTTTAAAAAGATTATTAGTTTCATACTTAATTTTAAACTTTTGTTTTCTTCAAATACTTTTTATTTTAGTTATTTTACAATATATTATATAATTTGTAAAATGATTGTTTAAAGTAATACACTATGTTGACCGCAAAAAAATGAACCCACATGTGGCCAACGTGAAGAAGCTCCACGTATACTCCTCCTTAAGCACTAGAAACAAATCATTGATCACTCTTGACCTTTCTCGATGGTGATTGTAGTGGTTGTGAACACTCCGACGGTCAAGTCAATATAACGATAAACGGAAGCATATAATTCCGATAGTGAGAATAGCCGAAATTGAGATATCACAATAACATGGGGATGAGATAATAATATTGTAAAGTGTAGAGTTGGATTATCATTCCAAAGGCATAAGGCATGTGTATTTATATAATGCTTGGAATTGCTAGTGTGGCTGTGGGTGTTGAACTTCGAATATGTTCGAGGATGACTATGATTGCAACTTCAAGAAAAGTTGGATTTGTGGAAGCAATGTTTTAGCTTGAGGACGAGGCTCTGCAAATCCAAATTTGAGATAAAATCTCTTGACTGATGGATGGAATGTTTGTGTTGTAGGTGCCAAAATGTCAAATTCAATTTATTTTGTTAGGAAGTATTAAATGCCCTCCTACATATGGAATGGTTGATTGACGTCTAGGAGACGCTTTGGCCCTACAGATGAGGCCACATGCCTTTTACCTAAAGACCCTTCCTTTACCTCCTCCTTTACAAATACACATGCCTTGTGCCTCTGAAATGGTAATGCAACTCTGCACTCGACAATATTATTATATCATTCCCATATTATTATAATATCTCAATTTTGGCGATTCCTATTATCAGAATTACTTGCTTCCATTTATTGTTTTACTGATTTGACCTTCGGAGTGCTCACGACTGGTACTCTCACCACTGGAAAATGCCATGAGCAACTAACGAGCGTTCCAAGTGCGTAGGGAGGAGCATACGTGGAATTGCTTTTCTATTGGCCATGTGTGGGTTTTACATATTTAGTAACGAGTCTTCATTTCAAACTAAGGCCTACACTTCGTGATACCCGCCACATCACATGCATTGTCGAGGAGTTGATGCGTCGAGCTGAAGCCATGCATTGTCTTCCAGATCCCCGAAGTGACTTGAGTTGGTACAAGCGATTATGTAGTAACACAGTTGGAAGACATGCCCGCTGATAAAGGTCACGATGCCTCGGTGCAATTCAGATCTTTTTTTACAAAGATTTGTCCAAAATAAAATCTCTTGACTGATGGATGGTACGTTTGTGCAACAAGCACCAAAATGTCAAATCGAATTTATTTTGTCAAGAAGCATCAAATGTCTGCCCACCTATGGAATGATTGATTGACGCTTATGGGAAAATGCTTTGGCTCGACAAATGAGACCACGTGCCTTTCATCTAACGTCCCTTCTTTCGGCTCTTCCTCTATATATACTCATGCTTTCGTTTATCATTTTACTTACTTGATCGTTGGAGTGTTCGCAGCAGCTACCATCACCATTCGAAAAGGCCATGAATGACTAACGATGTGTTCCAAGTGCGTAGGGACGAGCATACATAGAGCTGTTTTTCTGTTGGCCATGTGTGAGTTCATTTTTTTGGGGTCAACACACTACATTTTGTAAAATTATGTTATACACCATTTTATATTTTGTGAAATAGCATTATACACATTTCATTTATTTTCATCACCATCGTTACGCTGTGTCATCCTTGTAATATTTATTGTTGTACCATCACAAAGTGTCCCACTACAATAATTTCCCAACATATTCACAATACATGAGCACATCTATCTTAAAATTGAAATTGCTATTTTCAAAAAAAAATTTATCATTCAGTTTGTTCTTGTTCTTGTAGTATCAGTTTGAGGATAGTTGAGACCCACCACCAAGGACGGATCACCTTGTTCGGGCATTGCATTATGGCTTATGCATAAATCCCAGCTCTTGTTATTGTGGCGGGAGAGCAAGGGGGTATTGTGGGCTTGTTTGAGTTAGGGAAGGCGATGTGGAATTAAAAAGAATAAGAAGTGTTTATGAAATTTTGAAATACATTGAGGTGTACGGTGTAATTTTCACAATAATTAACTTTACTTCAATATTGCAAGCTCGGCAAGTCAACCTGATTCAATCTTTTGATCCTCCTCGCTCTCCTTCTTTTGGTGTAATGACGGGTTGATTTTTGAAACATAGCTTACATAGTGTGATGAGAGTAAGGTACTTTGTTGGTGCAATAATAAATTAGTACTTGAAATTTTATATGGATATACAATTCTGAATGTATGTATAGTAAAATTTCAACTTATAATTCAGTAATAAATGATCTAAAATTTTTATTATGTACGCATAATAAAAATATTAGTAACATCCTCAAAATTTATTAGCAAATGGTGATCATTTAATGTAATAGAATACTATTACGCCAATATAAATTATCATAATATCTCGTGGTTATTTGATATTTAATTGTATTCATATATAATTTTTTTTTCTTTTTTGAATTAGATACTATATATATATATCTAAACATATATGTTCAGAAAAATTCAATACAATATATGATCAAACCTAATAAATCCCTGTTTTAAAAACATTAATTTAAAAAAAAAAAAAACTTTTTTCTCAAACTTATTTTCAACTACACATAAAATCATTTTTTTTTTCAACTTTTCAACTACATATTCTCCCAAATTTTATTATTCCAAAACTTATTTTATCCATTAATTTTTTTTTTTAAACTCACTTTCAACCACACGTTATAGCAATGAAATATTCTGCACTTAAAACTCAAAATTTTCTCTCAAAAAAATCAATATTCTAAAATTAATTTTCTCTAAAAACTTTTTTTAATGGTTGTAAAACAGGACTAAATTTACATTATTAAAATTTAAAACATGTCAAACTAGCTCTATCTATATTATATAATGTATCAATTTATATTTTTGTAATTTATTTTGAACAAATTAACTACAACTAATTGTATAGGAATTTGGTACATAAAATCATTTTTTTATGCGCATAAACCTCATGATCTTTGGCCGTACATGATGCACGAGCTTGCTATCTTTTACCGGACGACTCTCTTTAGTTAGTTTTGCATAATTCGCATGCTGACTTTAATATTTTTTATTAGCACTTGAACTTACTCAAAATTTAAAATGCCATGACTTCCTTGATCAAGAGATAACAATTTCCTAAAATAAAAACATATTTTTTTCAAAATTTATCTACTTATAAGTAAGCTTTTTAAGTTGAGCCTACATTCTCTTTTGAATTGTCACGCTTCAACAATAAAAAATAGTTGAGTAGAGATTTTTTGAAAATAAATTTGCCCCATTTTGACCCCCATTATTTGACATTTTAATTTTTGGAATAGTATTTTTTTTTTAAATGAATGATTGAAAAAGAAGGAAAATTTTTAATTTACGTTTAATATTATTTTATTGAAAAAAAGAGATGTAATTTTTAGGTAAAATTAAAAAGTAGAGTGACAAATGGACCGAGTCGCTTACAGAATTGGATTACTCTTGACTTAGCCCACAGGTGACTTGAGCTCGATTTGAGACGAGTCATGACCGAATCAAGTTCACTTTTTTCCTCAGCTTGTGAGGCACTCATAGCCTGTGGACCAAATATAGCTGAGATAGGGTTCGGGTGTTTAAGAGTCAAGCCACTCCGAATAAAAAATAGGAAAAAATTCACTTATTAAATTATTTTATTGATGAAATGTTTGGTTAAAATAAGTGATTGTTTGAGAGTCATTTTTATGTAAAAATGTATTTTAAAATTGTAAATTAATGAAAAATATGTGGTTGAATAATAAGAAATTTTTTTTGATTTACGTGTAAAATTATTTTAATAAAAAATGTATTATTAAAAAGAGAGAGAAAAATGTATTTTGAAAAAAATGGGTACAAATTGGAAATTTTGTAAAAAAATGAATTTATATTTTAAGGGGCTTGGCTTGGATTACACGAGATTCTCTTAATAATAATTTAAATTTCAGATAAAACGATAATGATGACACTTCCACTTTAGCGTATTCTACTTTTACGTTAATTTGTCACAAGAAAATAATATTTGCAGAGACTGCCAAAAAGAAAGGATAATATTCTTTCATTCTTGCAAATGTTCAAGAACAGTCACGTTCCCCTTATGTCGGTTTCACCCCCCAGAACAAGCACAGGTAGTGAAAACTTAGTTTTCCACTTAGAGAAATTCCCGTTACAAGCTTTTTTTTTTTTTTTTTTTTTTTTGAATTCAGGAGCAGTGGTTTTCTCAGTTGTTAGTCTTCCTGAACTCTTGAGGTACTGTCTTTTTATACCGTTTGATAATTTTCTTATGTGTTTCTTTGAATTTTCTTGTTCTCAATTATTGTTTTGTGCCTCTGTTTTTGGGTTTGACCAGTTTTTTTTTCCCCTTTTCTTGGGCTTTCCTTTCCCCAAATTATGTATTGCAATTGTTCTTTTGGAGGGTTTAAAATTGTTCTGACCTAAAGGCTTATCAAGATCTTTTGAGTGTGAATTGAATTAGATGTATATATAATGTTCCGTATTTTCTGTCCATAATTTTGATTATGCACGACGATCATGGTTATCTGGTGATGATCATGATTATTGGACATTTATTCACTGACCAACTGAAAGAATTCTTTGTTTTTTAGTTTCTAGGTGGGTTAAGAGATTGCGGATTAAACAAGTTGAGTTTATCCTGCTGGTGAGCTAGCTCATTCATGTTAATTTCCTTGTTAAATGAATTATAATTGAGTTCAAATTCAAGGCTCATTTAGTAAAAACAGAGAAAACGGCGTCGCTTGAGATTGAGTTCGTGTGTGAAAACAATCACATGATTCTACGATGGGATGGGTTCAAGCTATAGTTGAAACACAAAGCTAATGATAACCAGTTCTGTCATTAATTACTTGCACAATTTCTGTATATTTTCACTTCTACAACTCCAAACCAGAGTTTAATTAAGCATGGAAACTCTAATTTGATATAGTTAAGGTGTAATACTTGTTCTTCTGGTTGTAGCATACTTCTCCTTTATAACTCAGTTGCTAGGTGAGCTATCTTGACACGTGGTGAATCTATGAGTAGGTACTTGCTAGATACGGAGCTTACCTACACTTGATTCATCAGGAGTAACAATGAACGGTGACAGGCATTCCATGCTTGAAGATCAAAGGGAATCACAGACTTCTTTCCTTGAGGTGATGTCCTGAAGCTTTGTTAATTTAATTTTTTCACTTTATCAAGGAAAAGTTTCTTGAAGTTTGATGTTTGTCCCATAGGTTGTTGATAAAGAGAAGCAATTGTTGGCCTCAATCTATTCAAATGGTCTTTTGCATAGTGACACTATAGAGCTATATCACAAAGTCCGGGCTGGTTACGAGGAAATCATTTTGAACAATCATCAGTTGGTGGAGCTTCAGGAAGTGGAATATCTTTTGTGGAAGCTACATTATAAGCACATTGACGAATTTCGTAAACGAATGCGCCAACTATCTTCCAATGCAGAGCATGGAAACATTGATTCCCAGAAAATCATTGATAAACATCTGGAAGGATTTAAGTCATTTCTGTGCGAAGCAGCTGAATTTTATAGGAATTTAATTATTAAGCTTAGGAAAAGTTGTGGGCTTCCTGCAAAAGTCTTATTGGATAACAACAATGACAACTCATTTTTTGTTAAGCCAACAAAGAAACATCAATGTGAATATGCATGCCATCGATTTTTAGTTTGTCTAGGGGATCTCGCTCGATACACCGAGCTTATCAAGAAGCCTGATGCCTGTAAGTGGTCAACTGCTGCAACCTACTACCTAGAAGCAACCAGGACATGGCCAGATAGTGGGAACCCCCATAATCAGGCATATCCCTCTAACTAATATTTCTTAATTTCCTAGTTTCCATGTCTCAATTTCTTAAAATGTTACGCTTTGTGCATAAATTTAAACATTTAGAATTACAAGATTTGCATCTGAGACTCTAATGTGTCGGCAGTTGGCATTGTTGGCAACATATGTTGGTGATTCTTTCCTTGCTTTGTACCATTGTATAAGAAGCTTGGCAGTTAAAGAGCCATTTCCTGATGCCTGGAATAATCTCATGCTACTCTTTGAAAAGGTAAGAGGTGATATTTGTACTTCCCCTCTCCCCAAACAGAAAAATAAAAAATAAAATAAAATAAAAAACTGAATGCATGCACGCACCAGGAAGAAAAAAGAAAAAGTGCTTGAACCAATAATATAAGTAGAAGATAATCTTGTCCATTCTTGATTTATCGTTCTTAATGTTGAGTCATTGTTTCTTGTGATTTTGCAGAACAGATCATCTCATTTACATTTACTTTCTAGGGACGCGCACATTGATTTCTTGAATCCATCAGAAAGATGTTCCTTGCAGAATACATTTCAAGCAGAGAGTGTTCCAGATAGCAGTAACTTGGAAGACACAGATTACTTTTCTTCTGGAGAATTAGACTTATGGCTCATGTTTGTTAGGATGATAAGCTTCATTTTAGTAAAATCAAGGTATGCTAAGCAGTGTTTTTGTCTTCTATCATATGATACTATCAGCCTTAGCAGTTTATTTCCATCCATATATTTTATTTTTCCCCTTTATGTTGATTTGGTTCTTGATATATTCTATCGTATCTGCTCATTCAGTATTAATTTCACTAGCTCTTTATTGCTTAATTGTATGAAGATAGCATTCTGGGGATGAAATTTCCTATACCATGATGATTTTTTTGTTTATTGCAGCAAATATTGAATTATATTCTGCATTCATTACTGATCAATCCCTTGCATGGTTTTCATGTAATTCAGCTTTTTTAATTCTAAATCTGACTCTTATTTTGTCAGCAATGATGCGTTGGATAATATATTTTCATGGTTTGCTACTTCTTTTTCTTTTCTATTTTCCTCAAACTTCAATTTGCCATCTATACATCCACAGAAATACTTGTGATATACAAAATATAGCATAACTTCTGATTATAACTATAACTGCATGAGATCGAACACTGTAAGCATCCTCTCAGGCTTGGCATATGCACTATAGATGCATAAATGAATATCAATTTCTAATATCACACTTTGTCATGTGACATTATTTTAGCTGGAATTGTCACTTCTACTTTTCTTTAACTACAGTCTTTAAGTAATATAAGAAAGCACATGTTTTAGATACAGACATGTAGCCGCCTCTCAGCTGCAACTAAATTGCTACAGTAGCAAAATAATCAATTAACAGCAGCCTTTCACCGAGGTGGTAAATCTAGCAATATATGTGCAGCCACATGCATTTGTGTTTATAATTGCCATGGGTTGTTCAAATAATGTTATATCTAAATTCATTATCTTTCTGAAATTTCTTATTGATTCTGAAGTGGGATGCTATCTTTTCATGTCATGCAGTTTGGAGGATTTTCCTTGTGCCCTTGCTTCCTTCATTAGCAGGTTGGAAGCACTTTTGGCATTAGATAATGCAGAACTCAAAGTCGCTTTGGAATCTTACCAACAGGTAGATTCGTCGAGAAGAGGCCCATATCGTGCTGTTCAATTTGTTTGCATATTAATCTTTGTCGCTAATAGCCTGGTTCAAAGCCTGGAAGCAAAGGAATCTACAGAGAGAGATGAAACCGAGTCATCTGCACAGACACAATTGGCACTGGCTGCTACCTTTATTTGCATGGGTCGGGTTACTGAGCGATGTCTGAAAGGAGACGAAATGGAAACTTGCCCACTATTGCCAGCCGTGCTAGTGTTTGTAGAGTGGTTAGTTGGTATCCTTCATAGAGCTGAAGCACATTCAGCTGATAAAAGGGTTAAGAGTTCTATATCCTACTTTTTTGGTGCTTTGGTCGATTTCCTGAACCAATTTGGTCAAAATGAGAGTGAAATTCCACCAGCGAATACTGCTCTCTGGGAAGATCATGAGTTGAGAGGTTTTCATCCAGTGTCTCATGCACATGCGTTGCTGGATTTCACAACTGACAGAGAATGCATGGCCAATTTCGAGATCAGAAATCCAAATCGTTTTTCTCGTATCTTTGATGCTGGAATGACAATTGTGCACAGGTCCAATAGTACTATAAAGTGGATCTTATATGATCAAGTGGGAAGGAGGTTTGGTACAGGAAAGTTTGTGAAAAACCTAGACGAAGGAGAAACAGCAGTAGCATCATCTAGTTCCAGTATCAATTCCGAAGTGCCTTCTGAGAAGACTAATGGATCCATAGAAGGGGTGGACGACAATATCCCCGCCAACGGACCCATTGACCAAGCAAAAAAGTCTAGTTCTTTTAGATCCATACATGATGATTTTGATGGATTGGAATCTTTGCCCGAGCAAAGTCAAGGTCGCCACAGTCAAGATAGCCAACCTACGACCACAGATGAGGAAGAAGTCATTCTCTTCAAGCCCATAACTAGACATAACTCAGTGCCAATATATTCTGATGCTTCCGGTTATCTAAATTCTTTAGATCGTGCAAATGTACAGACAACACTTCCTGATGAATGGTTATGCCGCTCTACATCGTTGTCTATTGGTGAAAGTTCGGCACAGACAGATACATTTAAACAGCACGAGCCTCCTTTGAAGGAATCGGCTGTTCACCCTGCTGGACCTCCGTCCCTTAGTGCTTGGGTCCTTAGTAAAGATAGTTCGCACATTGAAAGAGAGAGAGGGCAGAAGGACCTCAGGAAACAAGAATTGAGCCCTATTAAGGAAATAGCTTCTACATTTACAAATCTCTCTATCAACGAAACTAAGGATTCTGAGGTGGCGTCAGGACATGTTTCACCAATTACCCGCAATTATCCTCCTTATATCGCTCCTTTGCCTTCAGCACCATTAATACCTGATGATGCTGTTTGGTTCACGGGGAATTCTTCGAATTTTCCTGAGTACAGGAATCCAGTAGGAAATGATGGTATTCTTGGCGCAGCACCAAATACTGGATCCCCAAATCGATATGCAGTTCGATCATTTGATGAATACCCACCACTCTTTGGGATGAGTTCCTCTGAGTGGCTCTATCACTACAGAAACAGTCACAATATGGAGCATGCACATAATCACCCATCTGTTCACTTCAATGCACCTACCCTTGGAAGTTTTTACCCAAACGATGTTTCGAGATTTGATTTCTATGATCAGTGGGGAAATCATCTGGCTCCAAATCCGATGATTTATATGGGGAACACACAATTGCAGGCGAGCTCGTCTCATTTTTATGGTTCAGATGAACAAAGAAGGGACATGCTGTTGCTTGGTAACCAAAGATCGTTCCCTTATGTACGTGGTGTTGGTACAGACATAAGATCCGAGCAACCCCCATTATTGCAATATCTTAAAGAGAGGGAATGGCAACTACTTCCTGATTGTCGGGCAAGGGATCCTACTTTTATGTAGAACTAATTAAGTTATATGAACACTTGAAGTCGTGCATTTTCAAATCTGCATGCCTCGAGAATCTAAACTTTTTCATCATTTACTTCATTCATGTTTCGGGATGTTATATATACAAGTGTATTACATGTGCATAAATGATAGATACAATGTTGGTTTTTCCACAACACACTTACTAATTGATGTTAATACACCAATATCAGAGGTCGAATTCTATTACATCCTCACCAACCAGACATCTCTGTACCTTCTCAGAGAGGAGAAAAGAAGAGAGATTATTTCACAAATTTTTTTAGCACGGCGACAATAAAAGTGACCAGGTAGGAGGCAAATTTTCAAATGAAAGAATTGAGTCACAGAGAGAGAGAGAGAGAGAGAGAGAGAGAGAGAGAGAGAGAGTAAAATGCGATGTGACTTCCTCGATGAGAAGTGATTTCTACTGCTGTGCGCGGGCTGTTGCTGAAGTTGGTTAAGGGTTGGGCTCAGAAGCCAAAACCCAGTTGCAGCTGTAGTTATTTAATTGAGAAAATTACCTAGAAACCTACCTCTATAGATTAATTTTCAAAAAACAAGAAAATAAATTCTCATTTCACAAATCAGGTGGTAATTAAGCTTTAATAATTATAATTAATAAAAATTTAATTAAACTCAATCCACATATTCACCCAACCCTCAACCCACACCCATTTCATCCCCAACCCGTTTTCTCCCTCCTCTCTGTGCCACCACACCGTACCCACCACCACCCGCCTACCGTCAAACCAAGTCATCGCTACCACCACCACGACGTAAGAGTGTCTCGACGATGGTATGGTGTGGCAGGGCAGCGGGTTATGGAGGCTGTCGAGCAGCGGTTCGCATTTTCCTCCCTCTCCTCATCCTCATCTCCAGGTGCTTCAATCCTGTGTTGGCGAGGCAATAAGAAGACGAGAAGGGTAAAGACATTCAAGCGGTCATACGAAAAATGCAAAGTCTAAGAAGGAAAAGAAAATCGATCACATCAAGGATAAAATTGAGGTCCCCAGGTCCACCCCTTGGACTCTCCCTTTTAATCTCATTTGAAATTCTACAAAATTATCGATCACTCTGTTAGACTTTTGCTTATGTTTGTGATTTTCAGATGAAAATCCCTCTGGTTCGACGTCGTACTTTGTGATGATAAGAGAATTGTATATACATTTTATTAATTTAAAAACCAACCCATCCCGTTCCCCACAATTTTACAACTTTCAAGTTAACTTTTTCTTTTGCAAGACTAGAATAATTGCTAATATAGTGTCTTCTACATTTTCCTGAGGTCAAGACAAATCGTCAACAATAGTTTTCAAGAGGAAATTCAAATCTCATATGGTATTATTGATTCTAGAATAATTATTTATCAGTAGATGCTGCTGTGAGGAATTAAATATATCGAGATTTTTTATATACGATGCTTGAAAGCTTACAGAAGATGTTCTTAAAATTATTGTAGAAGGTAATGATGTGATAGTTGGAGATGGAGTTCAGATTGTTGGATTTATGATTGGTATGCTGTGGTTTTTATTTTACTTTTGATTTTGGATATGTCGTTGGGTTGTAAGTTGGTAATGCTGGCAGTGATGGTTAGGTGAAGGTGGTGCTGGTGGTCCTTTCCTCCATTTTTCTCTGGTCGCAGGTGATTGTGTTTATGATGTTGGTGGTGGTTGTTAGTTATTGGGTGGTTGGTTGTGGTTGTGGTTGTGGTCGCAGTTGTGTGAGATTCAAATGGGCATTGATGGTGAAGTAGTAGTGATGAGCACAGGGTGAATAGGTGGTGATTGTGCATGTGGGATGGAGTGGTAATGGTGAAGTTGGTCACATGGTCATTTGCCCCCGGTCACATAAGCCATAGGTCACATATCATTATTAAGGTCACATATGTTACTAGTCACAATTCACACGTTACATATAAGTCACATATCAGTATAAACAGGTCACAAATCAATACTAACAGGTCACATGTCATTTTGTAGAAGTCATAGATCAAATTTATAGGTTACATTTTATATTATTACGAGTCACGAGTAACAAAATTATAGGTTATATAAGTTTTGGCCTATAAAATATGTGATTTCTGACCAAAAAAGTGGTGGTCAATTAATTTAATAATTTTGATCGATAAAAAAGTTTCAACCTAAAAAATTTGTGATTTGTGACTGATTGTGACCAATTTCATATTGATTGTAACTGATTGTGACTTGATCACATTTCATCACAGTTAAAAGGTTGACTTAGTCACAGACAGACACATTGAATAAAAATTTGATCACATTTAGTCACAATGAGAATAAATTTGGTCACAGTTAGTCACAGATAATATATATTTGTGACTTGGTTATTGACAACCATAAATTAGATGGTCACAGATAGTCACACTGAAAACAAAGTTGGTCGCAGTTAGTCACAAATTACACAAATAGTGACTTGGTTATATATAGTTATAAATTAAACAGTCACAAACAATCACACCAAAGATAAATTTGGTCACAATTAGTTACTTATAACAAAGATCTTGTCGTAAAAAAATTTGATCACATACAACACAGGTTTTGTTATATGCATATTCATCCCACCTGATTAGGTCACAAAGTCAATAAAGCTGATCACAAGTCATTTCCAAAAAAAAAAAAAAGGGAAAAAAAGGTAGTTGTCGAAGGCCGCTAGAATAATTGGCAGAAAATTTTAATAGTGTGATTTTTAAAATTTCAAACTTTATTTTCTTAATTTTGAAATTGATCATATGTAATGTTCGTCCTACATGATTAGGTCACAGATTTAATAGAATTGGTCAAAATAGGTACATGTCACAAATCTAATGAAATTGGTTAAAAGTCATTTATCAAAAAAATTGAAAAAATGTGTAGCGTCATTTGTTGGAACGATCGCCTAAGTCGTTGTCGAAATATTTTCCGGCGAAAAATTTGTCGCCGGAGTGATCGCAGGAATTCTTGTCGGAGGTGAGGCGGGTTGCCGGAATTCTGGTTGGAGCAGCCGTCGGAATTCTCGATTGAGCAGGTTGCCGGAGGTAGGTTGGGTCGTCGAAGTTGAGGTTAGGTTGAGAGAGAGAGAGAGAGAGAGAGAGAGAATTGTTTGAATTTAAAATTTAGTGTGATAGGTTATCTGGGATGGGGTGGGAGAGAGAGTAGATTAATTATATTATAATTAAATATTTAATAAATTTAATTATCACCTTATTTTTGAAAGATTTTTAGATGTTTGTTAGTTGTGAAATGTGATTTTTAAATGTAGGATTTGTGTGGTGTTCCTTATTTAATTTATGTTTTCATCTGTATACGACTTAGTCCAAGTTGTGGAGTCGTGGTATAAGGAGCAATTGTTTAATTCTTTTTGTTATCAACTGGAGCATTAGGAGTTTGTGTGTGAACATGTCGGAGCTGGTAGGCTCACTTTCAGTTTCGTGCATTTCCATTCAGTATTTATTGTGCAACTAAAAGAAAATGTTGATATTTATTGACGCCAAAAATTCTATCTTTTACATTTGGAGGCCAAGCTCCCTCGAAGAAGCCATTCAAAGTGCGTGAAGAAGTGATTTAGCTACTTTGGTACATAGCATCTACGAAGATGAAAATGAATTCTTCTCTTATCTATTTCCACAGTTCTTCTATTGGGATGCCACGCTCTTCAGCAACTTCTCTTGTTTGCCTCATTTTTGCCCTTATAAATTTATCGAAGACAAAAATGATACATTTATATTATGGAAAATTGGTCATCGAAGTAATAATTTACCGTTGATATTAACCCATCTTTGCGGTTCCTGATGGATATAATTATACCCTTATCATCTGAGAAAGTTACTTTTTTTAGATCACCTGGATATCTATTTTACAAAATTCTCAAACACCTTTGTTGGTACTTTTTTTTTTTTGCCTGTATTTATTTGACGTCATTTTAGATTACCTCTGCATGTAATATAAAGTTAAAAGATTGGGGAGTCAGAGAAGACGAAAGAATATGCATACGATGCAAAGGAGAAGACCAAGGACACTGCCGGAACTATGGCGGACAAGACAAAAGAATATGCATACGATGCAAAGGAGAAGACAAAGGGAGCAGCCGAGACCGTGGCTGATAACACCAAACAAGGAACACAAAAGGCAGCCGAGAAAGCGCAAGGTTTAGGAGAGAAGGCTAAGCAAACTATGCAAGAAGCTTGGGGGGCTGCTAAGGAGACAGGTCAGACGATTAAGGAGACAGTGGTCGGAAAATCCGATGACGAAAAAGAATCTGTTGACGATTTTATTGAAGATCATGTAAGGAAGCCAGCGAAAGAGCATGAGGAAGATACAGACTTGAGGCGTCAATCAGGAGATCGTGATAAGAAGAAACATTAATGAAGGGGTTTGATTTTCGTTTTCTTTTTTGTTATTTAATATCTTTCTGAATGTTTAGTAGACGAAATAATTGAATAAAATGAAGTTTTTGTTTCCCTGTACGTGAATCATCGAAGCTCTCTTTCGAATGTTGGAATTTTAAGTGCTGAGAAAGAAGAGCCGTGCTTCATTCACATAAGTTTTACATATAAGACACAAATGCGTGGAGCTCGCAATTTATTGTCAATTATTTATACAGGCATGGGACCCGATCTCCTGTCGGCTCGATTATGTGATCAATTAATCAATTGGAGAAAGAATACCTAGGAAGACAGAGGTCTAGAATAATTAGCAAGAAACAGAAACTTGTTTTCATAACATGATATCGTTAACATAATGTTACATCACGTAATTCTACTATTAGACTGCCTAAATTTTTAAATTTTCAGAAATTGCAGATTACACCACAAGCCAGCAGAATCTTTTTAAAAAATAAAATAAAAAAAATAAAAAAAAAACCGTCGGAACGATCTTTTAACTTTTTTAACTAATAAAGGAAATTTTGCATCAAAGGTCTCAAAATTTTCAAGAATGTGCAGCGCTGTCCTAAATTTATTGTTTGGATCTCTGAAAATTTTCATTCGATCGGTTGACTAAAAATATTCATTTTATAAAATAATAGGAAAAATACTTATGATTCCTCATTCCCATTAAAATTTACTTCATTATATTGGAGAAATGCAACCATTTCATGTCAGTACATGATTCTGATATTGCCAAGTTGGATACTCGAGGACCGGCATGTCTCGAGGACTGTTATAACTCGAGGACTTCGCAGCACCTTATAATTCCATTTTGAGGATCTAGTCCTCGGGGTTTATATGGTCTTCGGGATGTTGTTCCCGAGGACTCTATTCTACCCTCTAAAGTCCATAAGTCCTCGAGGTTAAGTAATCGAGCACTATCCTTCCAATCAAACTCCCATAATAAGTCTTACCTTCTGAGGACTTTAATGTGATTCACACATCTCAACCCAGGACTCCTACGTCCACAAGAACTCTATGTCAACAATAGTATCAGTGGTCATGCAATTATGTTACAAATAATATACTTCTCTCAGGCGAGACTCTATTAGATAAGAACGTCCAACTTATTCAATCCTACTAGGAGTGCACTACCTACCGCTATAAATACAGGACTCATGTCTATTATTCAGGTACGTTCTACATACACAATTTCCAGCATATATTCATCCTTGAATCCCTCTTCTGACTTAAGCATCGGAGGGGCGACGAGCACACACCTCGTTTCCTTTGTTTCAGGTATTTGGAAGGCTTTGCTCATGTTCATCATTAGTCATCATCCTCGGGACCCGCCAGGTACAATTTTTGCTAGCACCATTGGCATCGTCTGTGGGAAACGCTACCAAAAGCCATGGTGACTACACGATCGGGCCTTCCTCCAGCAAGTTCTTCCGCCCCAAATCCTCCTCCACCCCTAGAAGGTCATCCTGCTCCTCACGAAGAGTCGTCAGAAATACCAGCGCCCCAGCAAGTCGTCGTTACCACCGGGGCTTTTGAGGAGCTTCGTCAACAAGTTGCTACACTCACTCAGTTGTTAAGCCAGATGAATTCATACCCAGTACATTCACCGACTCCTAAAGGCGGTTTTATGTCAGATGCTCGGGCTCGAGCCCCACACCTAGTTCTGGGCTATGATGAAGCTGGAACCTCGGGTGTACCAACATTGGCTCGGCCTCGAGAGCAGTAACAATGGATTCCAACGAACTCGCTAGAATCATTCGGAAGGGCATAACCGCCAGTCTAAAGCAAAAGGATAAGGGGATAACAGGCTTCGCCCCTAATACTCCTTTCACTCCCGAGATATTGTCGTTCCCCCTGCCGGATAGATTCAAGTACCCCCGCATCAAGGAGTATGATGGGACTACTGATTCGATCAACCATCTTAACATTTATATTGACGTCATGAATCTACAAGTTGCTCCCGACCAGGTGATGTGTAAGGCTTTTCTCCAAATGCTGACCAACGTTGCCAAGGATTGGTTCTCGACCTTGGAACCTAACTCCATATCCTCATTCGCAGACCTGGCCGACAAGTTCTCTTCCTTTTTGTCCAGTAGCAAGCGCATCAGGAAGACAACGACTTCCCTCATGCAACTTCGTCAGGCACAGAATGCGACTCTCCGTGACTTCATGACAAGGTTCAACAAGGAAAGGTTGTAGATCCCCGATCTCCATATCACCGCGACCGTCTCAGCTCTTACTCATGCTATAAGGTGCGAGACATTCAAGATGTCCTTGTCAAAAACACCTCCAAAGTCAGTAACCTAGCTCTTGACCAGAGGAGAGAGATACATCAATATGGAGGAAACGTTGAATCTAAAGAGAGTCGGCCCGACCCACGAAAAGGTCGAACACAAGAGACATCATGACTCAAGTCAACGGCAAGAGGCCCCTCGGAACAAGCAGAAGCTAGGAACCTCGCCATCATCGTTCACCAAGTTAGACACTTCAAGAGCCAACATACTGATGGAGATAAAGGATATGAAAGAGTTCTAATGGCCACCGAGAATAAAATCACCTCCGGAGACCAGGGATTGGAGTAAATATTGTGATTTTCACAGGGATCAGCATAGCCTTGAAACGGGAGATTGAGGCACTTGTGAGAAGGGGGCTCCTCGGTTCATATGTTAGCAATAACAAACGCCCGAGGAATGACCAAGAAAAGGAGGCAGCCCCGAAGACTAGGGGTAGTCGCCAACCAACAGCTGAGACTATTAACATCATTGTCGGAGGCATTGCGTCGGGAGGAGATTCAAACAAAGGGCGAAAGCAATATGTAAGACAGCAGTCATCGGCATCTGGGGGTATCGAGGATCGTCTAGAGGACATTACTTTTGGAACTAAAGACATGGATGATGTGTCTCTTCCTCATGACGATGCCTTAGTTATTTCGGCAATTATTGTCAATTTCGAGGTAAAAAGGATCTTGATCGACAATGGAAGTGTAACAAACATCTTGACCCATGAAGCCTTCAGTAAGATGGGAATTTCAGTTCAACAGTTAAAGCCTGTGAAAACTCCTCTGCAGGGATTCGGTGGAGGTGTTATCGTCCCAGAAGGTGTCGTCGAGTTACCCCTTACCTTAGGGACAGATCCAAAGCAAGTGACAAAAGTCACGCCTTTTCAGGTGGTCCATGCATCAATGGCTTACAACGCTATTCTGGGTAGACCATTATTCAATAAGATCAGGGCGATCGTATCGACATTCTACCTTGTTATGAAGTTTCCCACAGTTCATGCATTGGAATGGTACATAAAGATCAGAAAGCAGCCAGGCAATGCTATATTACCAGCCTACATCAGAAAGCAGCCAGGCAATGCCATATTACCAGCCTACGGAGGATAGGTGGTGACGTCATGCAACTTTTTGAGGCCAAGCTTGACCCCGACCACAAGGGCCGGCTCTACCCTGTGGAAGAACTATTGGAGGTCGAGCTCGAGGTCGGGAAAAAGGTGAGCATTGTTCGAGACCTTGAAGAAGGTCTTGCGATGGAACTGATTGGCTGCTTGGCTCGGAACATCGACATCTTCGCATGGAAAGGAGAAAACATGCCAGGCATAGATCCAAGTGCTGCTGTCCACAGGCTCAACATTAGTCCAGGAGCCAGACCTGTGAAGCAAAGAAAGAGACAGTTTGCGCCAGAAAGACGGGAGATTATTTGTGAAAAAATTGACAAGCTTGTCAGAGCGGGTTTCATCAGGGAGGTCCAGTATCCCGAATGGCTTGCCAACGTGGTCCTGGTGAAAAGGCTAATGGCAAATGGAGGGTCTGCATTGATTTTACAGACCTCAACAAGGCTTACCCGAAGGACAGTTATCCCTTATCTCAGATTGACAACCTTGAGGACGGCACGACATGACACAAATTGTATAGCTTCTTAGATGCATTTTCAGGTTACCATCAGATTCTTATGGCCGAAGAAGATCAAGAGAAGACGTCTTTCATGACAGACTCGGCCATATACTGCTATAAGGTCATGCCATTTGGTTTAAAGAACGCAGGGGCGACATACCAAAGGCTCATCAACAGGTCGATGACATGGTAGTAAAAAGTAAGCAGGTAAGCCAGCATATATCCGATCTGGAGGAAGTCTTCAGCACCCTGCAAAAGTATAGGATGAAACTTAACCTAGCAAAGTGTGCATTTGGAGTAGCTTCGGGAAAATTCTTGGGGTTCATGATCACTCACAGGAGGATAGAGGCCAATCCAGACAAGATACATGCCTTGGCATCTATGGAATCGCCCCGGAATAGAAAGGAAGTTCAGAAGCTGACAGGCCGAGTGGCCGCCTTGAACAGGTTCATGTCCCGGGCAGTGGCAGGTGCTTTCCTTTCTTCAAGATCCTTAGGGGCAACCAAAATTTCGACTGGAATGACGAATGTGAAAAAACTTTTCAAGAGCTCTAGCAAACATTAGTATCCCCGCCAATTCTAACTAAACCCAAGCTTGGGGATACCTTGTTTTTATACTTAGCCGTTTCACAGAATGCTATCAGTGGTGTGCTAGTAAAAGAGATTAACAAGGCCCAACAGCCAATTTACTATGTGAGCAAAGTATTACTTGATGCAGAAACCAGATGCACCTTGGCCGAACAACTTGCTCTTGCGTCGGTAATGACAGCTAGCAAGCTTTGAAAGTATTTTCAGTAGCATCCCATTCTTGTACTCACCAATCAGCCTCTCAGACACATATTCCAGAAACCCAACGTCTCCGGGAGGTTATGGAAATAGGCTCTTGAGCTAGGAGAATTTGATGTCAAGTTTAAAGCTCGTCCTTCTATAAAGGCCAAAGCTCTGGCAGACTTCATAGCGAAATTCACACCAAAGCCCCGGGGGACAGAGGACAGATCTGGAGAGGACACTCTGGCCTGCTGGAATATTTTCGTGGACGGGGCGCCAACTCTTCAGGATCGGGTGTCGGGGTCATCATCATTAGCCCCGATAAAAGAACGGAGATTCAGTGCGCCTTCAGATTTGAATTTGAAGCCACTAACAATGAAGCGAAATATGAGGCAGTCATCCTCGCTCTGGAATTAGCT